TGCCCAGTGCGAGCCCGGGACCAGCATATGGCCTCTGTCACAGGGGATCAGAGGGAGCTCGGTACACGAGCTCCCTCCAGTCCCCTCTCCGCTGTCAGAATGCGGAAGTGGTTATATCTCATCATTTCCGCATTCTTGTGTCACTCTCCAGCTTCAGATGCTGGAGAGAAGCTGATGAAGCAGATCTGTGCTTCATCAGCTTCTTCAGGGGGGTCCTAGGTGACATTAGGGGTCTTGGATAAGTCCCCCCCCATACATACACGCATGCAAACAGGCATCGGGTGCGCATACGTGGGAAAACGACGATTTCGCCCATTTCGCCGCACATGTTACATATCGCCGCGAACGTCGGAATGAGAGCAATAATTGTAGGGCTATCAATCACTGATAACACTAAACTGATGAGCGGTAAAAGCTTTTAAAGCGTCACCTATGGTCAATTTTGGGCATGGTAATTTTTTGCGATTTTGCGGGTGCGCGCAATTTTAAAGCATGACATGTTTGGTGTCTATTTACCCAACGTGACCCCGTCTTTTTATATTTTACCAAAAATATGGGTGATAAATGGGTGTGGTTACTGGGGGTGTGGCCACTAAAGGGTGTGGCCACTGAGGGGTGTGGTCACTGAGGGGGCGCTGTAAAGCTTTCTCGCACAGGGCGCCTAAAGGCCTAAGGCCGGCCCTGATTGTAACTGTAGTGTTTCATTTTGGAAAAGCTGCACAAACTGTTGGCACTATATAAATCCTGAATAATAATAATAATAATAAAAAGGTGGATCTTCAGCATCAGCATAGTGACAGTGATTTTGATTTTACTTAAGGTCCAAAGTTGTTCTTTTATGCCGTTAAGTGTAACAATATGGTGGACTCCTAAAAAAAAAAAAAGGAAATTTGTATGACTACAGTGATAATCCCACCACTATCCATAATCACTCCTGACACAGCAGTTCATAGCTATAAATATCAAAATAAAACCAGAACTGCAACCCATACTGGAAGAACAACACTCTTTTTTATTTTTTACATAACTTTTTACTCCCACGTTACAAACACACACCTCACCTCTAGGGATAGGAGGGATTGCCATAATTCTTAAACCTTTAGAAAAAGAATACTGCTCCATATATAGATAGATAATCCCGGTTGTGCAAAGTCTGAATCTAAGGGATTAAATAAAATAGAACCTACACTCATTTTTCTAATCACTTTTCTTAGCCTTATACTTTCTATTAGAAAAAAACAATTTGCTATAAACATAAGAGATAATCAAAAGAACAATGGGTAATGCCAGCAATCATTGAGTGATGGGACTGTAAGGAGGTGTTTGGGTACTCTGATGACTGGACACTGTGTAGCCAAGAGGACTGCTCTGCTGTAATAATATATCATTTTACAAGTAGTAGAAAGATTAGCTATGTCATGCTGCAGTGCTGCCACCTAGTTTAGTTTATGTGGCTGGATTTCTCTCTAGTGCTTGAGCTAGGCCTTCTTTCCATGTAAATAGAACAGTTACTTAATGTAAAGCATCCATCACTGTTGATGGAGGAGAGACTTTAATTGTTCTTTTGAACTGTATACTGTCCTTTCAGAGATTGTGCTTCACAGTTGCCCTTGCAGATACAGTTTGCATAAACCCAAGAATAAAAACTTAATATACTGCAGCTTACATGTCCTTTTTAACTAGCTTTTTCCCCCCTTTACTTTCACCTGGTGATCTTGCCAGTAACACACTTCCTGCCCTAGGGTGACAATGCTCTCTCACCAAAACCTAAAGGGAGTTCCTTAAGATTTAATCAAAAATCACCCCAGCTGACCTAACAACAGTAAACTAAAGTATTTTTAGATGACTGCACTTGACAAATGTTTATGACACTGGTTTTCTGAAATAAACAGGTTGCAGAAGCATAAAGTTTTAATATGTGTTGTCAAGTATAGCTTGAGGTAAGTGCTAAAAAAATAAATAAAATATGCATGTTGAAAGTATCTATTCTTAAAAGAGCAGTATTGGTAGGCAGTTATCCAATAACCCTCCATCTTCCTCCTTTTTTTTCTCTCATCTCTTCTCAAAACTTTTTCTTCTAAATTATAATTCATCTATGATGCACTTTTGGCCCCTTTCACACGGGTGGTCTGATTTGGTCTGCCTGTCAGTTTTTCATGTGCACCAGATCGGATGCCCAATGTAAGTCTATGGGCAGTTGTGTGTAAACAAGGCTTACCCCTGACTCCGGCCAGGTCTGGAAAAACAAATAGAGATCCATTTCGCCAGACCCGATTGTGCTGAATCGGGGGTAATCTGATGTAAACCGACACATGGCCATTTACATCCGATTCCCCATAGACAGACATGGGGTCCGACCATTGCAGATTTTTTCTCCATCGCAAGATGGAGGAAAAAACTGTACGGACACGGATGTTACAGTTGTGACATCCACTCCATACTGCTGTGATTAGGACAGATCCTCTCCTGATCCGTCTGTGTGAAAGGGGCCTTTATCTCCTCACATTTGCCTTTTACACAGTCCTTATTAGATTATACATGAACCAGAAGGCTCTATAGAGTGCACATTTTAGCATTCTATAGGTTAGTTACTCTAAGTAGCTATTTAACTAGTACAACAAAATAAGAAAAGCTATTATACTACACTACCCTGATTCTGATTAGAGACTCCATTACATATTCATAATTGTGGAAGCATTTAACAATAACCAGATACCAGGGTTAGAATATAATGTTACTGTATTCAGTAATATGCACTTTTGTCTCTAAATATGAAAAAGTATTGCATCTGTAAACTTGTATCTATACTTAATTCTGCCTAATTGTGCAATAAATATATATATTCAACCTTTAAACTGAACCTGTGCCCAGATCATGCATACTATATTACTTACATATTCTGAAGAAGCAGTAAAAGCACTTGTATCTATGAGCATTGTGAAGAAACTGATTTTCAAAGTTTAAAGCACTGTTTTTCTATGAGAAAAAAATCTTGGCAGCCTGCCAGCCCTCTAATGTTAATACACAGCAGGAGTTTCTAAGCTGTTAAGAAAGTATCTGAAACCCAGCTCTAGAGTCTTTGTTGTGCTATTTGAGATTTAATAACTTCACATGAAAAACAACTAGAAAGGCCGGGATGACTTGTTTTAAAGCCCTTTTACTGCTTATTATAAGTAATATGTAAAAAACTATAGTCTAATGCCCACAGTATGGGCACAGGTGCACTTTATGAGCAGTGTCCACATACATCTCTGCTGTCACCTTCTTCGGGAGAGCCCTTTACCTCCCTGGCGGTATGATTATGTTGATTTTCATAATTTTTTCGGCGCAATCTTTTTTTGGATTATTTTCGTTATTTTATTTCTTCGTTTTTTCAGGTTTTTTTTTAATTTCCTGCCGGTTCCGCCCCCATGCGGCGCGTCAGCTCGCAAGGGACGGAACCCGGAAGACAGATGCCGGCGCCAACCGGAGGACAACGCACGGCTCGAGCGACAA